CTCTCCTCCACCGCACAATCCTCCAGTCTGAGGCCGTTGGGAAGTCATGCCAAGTCCAAGCTCTCTTGGGCCTGGGCCAGGCATGCCGCTGCGTCGGCATTATTGCTTCTACACTATTGCCAGGAGTGTATTCCTCTACTCCTTAAACCCATCCATCCTTTCCACTCTTTCACTGTTCCCAGCTTATGAAGCAAGCTCTTGGGGATTATGCTCGATAAACAAGGCGGCAGATTAATTGGGCTGAAAATCAGCAATTGGATCGACCGCGCCTTTGCCAAGATTCGCCCAGCAGTGTGCTCAAGCTGGTCAGAAAGATGCAGAACAACATGCAGAAAAAGAAGATCTGCAAAGAGCCTGGAAAGGAGGTCAGAAAGTGAAAAACTCCCTTTGCAAACACCAGAAGGCGAGAGAGAAGCTATGTGAAAGCCGGGTGCCCTATTTCATGTGTGATCGATGTGCCCTTTTTAGTCTCACAGTCCCAGGACAATAACTAATTAGGTCTGTAATTGGGACACAGTATGTGTGGTTGGGTAAGAAGTAAATGTCATGGTTGGATCCTCTTATTGTCCAAGTATTTTAAGCAGGATTTATGACATGAGGAAAGCTGACTTCATATCCTGCATAGTATTTACACAGTATGAACAAGACAATCAGACAGGTTTTTTGGTCTAAGCCTGGGTTGGCTTACCTCTCTGCCTCTAGAGGCTAAATAAAAAGCTGATCAACACATCATCAGACCATCAGAGCCTTAAAAACTGTGCCCAGCAGTAGCTTTGGGCCGATAACTTACAGAACATTGGGCCTCATTCACCAACATCTTTCTTAAATTTGTTCTTGAAAAAGGTCATAAGAAAAAGTCTACGTCAGATTCATGATGTGTTCTTAAACTGTAGAATTGTTGGGGCTCCCGCGCGGCGCAACCATCTAAGCGTTGGCCTTAACATCAGGAGATCGCTAGTTCGATCCCTGGTGATGCTACAGCCATCCGTAGCCGGGAGTCCAAGAGAGCACAATTGGCCTCGCTCTCCCTGGGTGGTTAGGATGGCCCCTCCTTCTCCCCCCATCACCCAACGCGATGCTAGTCAGCGCAGGCATCTGGCAGTTGGCGCTTTCCTCCGAGCGCGTTCAACTGTCCGATGACGTTGCGTGAGCGGAAGTTCGAAAAGAAGCGGTGGCTGGTTTCACAGGTCTCGGAGGAAGCGTTAGGTGTGTTAGGTGGAATTGGCGACAACTAAATTGGGGACATAATTGGGTTATAATCCAAAAAAAAATAAATAAAAAATTATATATATATATATATATATATATATATATATAAAAAAACAAAAAAAACCTGCAGAATTGTTCACATCTTTGTCCTTTTGAATGTGTGCAGATTCTGTTCTTACCAAATAAGAAAACAGTTGTCAACGTCAGAATCTTCATGAAAACTGCGTAAGTGGGTTTTCAGAACGGCTGATGAATGAGGCTCATTGTGATTTTTTAGATATATTATATTATGCAAATTACCATTCTTTTGTTATCTTTTACCTTTAACTTTTCCTTTTGTATAATTATTCTAGTCTATGGTTAGTTCACATGTGTACTACAGAAAATACTGCACTTAATTAAAGGTTATGCAAATAGAACATCTCCAACTAATTACCTGCGCACAGACAAACTTTGAATGCTGCCAAGATTACAACATGTATTCAACATAAATGTTTTGGCAAAGAATGCTGGGGTACATAAAAATGAAATAAAAAAATGGTACATGATCTATTCTCTATTAGAGAATAAAATGAACAAGTTCCTAGAAACCTGAAGTTAGCCCAGTTGGTAATTATCTAGTAATTATATAACCATCAGGGAAAATGCAAGCTATAGGGCAGTGGTGCACAATTGCAGCCCTGGAGGGCCAGTGTCCGGCACAGTTTGGTAATTTGCCTGCACAAATACACCTGATTCAACTCATCTGTTAATTTCCAGGTTTACTGAGTGTGTTAAAGGAGGGGAACTACCAAATTGTGCTGGACACTGGCCCTCTAGGACTACAGTTGTGCACCCTGGCTTTAGGTTAAAGCCCTGTAACAATCACATATAGTACTTAGTAAGTGAATGTGGATCATGATAATATAATTTGTCACGATAATTCCCAAGACAATAATCGTTCCCTTAAATTTACATTATCATCCAAGCTTGCCCAGCAGCAGCAGAGTGCAGATAAAAAACATGAGTCAGCATCCTGCTGGGAATGGGACTGCTTGTGAACAAATCAGTCTCCCCTACAGACTTGAGAACAGAGAAAGAATGAGCAAGCTCTTAACCTTTTGTTCCTACACGGTTGCCTCTCACACCCACTGCATTCCTTCTAGATCACAGGCAGGTTCGCCCCACCTGCTTGCTCTTCTCATGTGTGTGCCAGAAGGGCTGGGAGAGTTGGGGCTTTCTGGAGCAAAATCTCCAAGGTTTCTGAAATGAAATGTGATGCCAACCACTTCTGACAGCTCACTGTGAGTGGCCCATGCGAAGCATGGACACACTACTGCTCTGCTGACAAGGCACAGGCTATGAAAATCATCTGCTATCTTATAGGCATGACGGAGAGACGAACGATAGAACTCCTGCCAACCTTGAAAAAGAAAACAAAATCCCATTTTGGTCTCATATCACTACTTGAACATAGAGGGATTTTCCCCAAATGCTGATCCAGCTCTGCAGACTGAAGGATTGCTGCAGCTGAGTGTTGAACCCAGTGTGTCTGATGTCTGGGGTTGATTAGGTCTCCTTACAGAGATTGAACGCATGACTCAGCCACACTGGGTGCCTGTCTCAAACACGTTTGTGATAGCATGGAGAGGATTTGCCTGTTCAGCATCTTTGTGGTGCACACATTTGACACTGGACAACAGGTGACAACACCTAGAAGTCAAACATCTTCAAAGCGATAGTTTTGAGAAAAATGTAATTCACACAATATACCCCTTACCACAAATGTAATCGATCAGCCAACACAGGTCGGCTTATTTAGTTTTGCACTGGGTTTACAAGGCTAATGTAGCTAACACATAATTGGTGGGATATATGCTTACATTAGCACTACGCACAACACATGCCTAAATCATCATGCACTTACCTCAAACTGAATAAAGTGTTAAGTAAAATTAAGCAGAATTGCTTATGTGGTTTCTAACACTGTATGAAACACTGTTACATACTGTAAAAGGAACAAAAAAAAAAAAAAAAGAATTCAGGATGTCTGCTACTACTGCTCTGATGCTCTGAGCTCTTACGCATGGACAAATCATCAATCAAATCAATCAAAATGATTTATTTTTTTTATAATAGCCTTTTTTTAAACCTGGAGCTTAAATAAATGAACAAATGAAAACACACCAGCACATTTCCAGTGCTTTCTATTTGTTGCAATGTAAATAAAAATGCCACTTACTTTCGATGTTACACTTCAGTTGATTCATGTCATTTAAATAGCAAATCAATAAAATAAAAATAAAGCACTGGACAGTCAATGGACTTTCACTGGGATTGGAACCGTGTGGGATCATTATGATTCTATTTTTTTAAAGTTACAGGAATTGGTTAACTGAGTAATTGCAAAGTACCATCTAGATTAATTGTTTATTTGTTTTAAACCCATCACTGGCTGGTAGGGCTGGCCACACAGAGACTAGACTACAGTCCTTGCATTTATTTGTTCTTGACCAAGCCTTTGTGTAGCACAGTTAGCCTGTTGACTGAAACGACTGCAGCCCTCTTTTAATTTACCATGTGCACTTTGCACATCAGCCTCATGTTTGGCTAACAGAATTTTTTTCATCTCAGCTCTGAGACCTTGAATTTTGTGGCCCGTTTGGTCCTTTGCTTTGGTGTGCAAGTCATTTGCTTCCTTTTGCTATTTAAAAAACACTCAAATTAAGCGCTTCATCAAAAGTAGGAGGCAACTGGTTAATTATATCTATGACTCACAAGTAATCATGCTGTAACATTTTTATATCAATTTAGCAGCAGCACTCAAATACAGCCCAAGTGCAATTACCTGGCTGACTGTGTGTTTGGAGTAAAAATCTGCTTTGCATTGCATTCTTACACTGTTTTTTATCCATTTCTATAGACAGTGTTGCACAGTGTCAAAAACTAGTGACGACTAGGTAGTAGGTAGTAGGAAGTAGGGGAAAAATTGGAAAAGCATGTAAAAAATTGTAGATTTTGTACCAAACTATGTGCTTAAAATGTCTGATGTTTTGAGGTTCGTGATGTTGACTGGAAAGCACAGTGAACACAATGTAAAAGAGGAACCACTCATGAACGCCCAAGTGATAACTATGTGTGAAAAGTAGCAAAGACTGCTCAAAGTTCCCTGTTCTCACCCTACAGGTATAGAGCTTTCCAACTCTCAAAAGCCCATATTAAAGAAAAGTTACGCTACAAGAAACAGACTCTTCCACAATAGGGACCTTTATCTTCAACTAACTGAATAAAATCTTGTTTAAGACAGACACTAGTGCGGGCAGATGAACCTTTTAAACTTTTAAGGATTTCTTTCCCTCGCTCTCTTTTTAGAAACAGCAAATGGCCTTAATGGACAGCAGCGCTGACCATGAGACACACTACATAACCTTTTCCGTGACAACGAATGAAACATCTCATCAGATGAAGATTCAGATGGCCCCTGAAATAAAGTGCTACTTACATGGAGCGCTCTTTGAAAAGCAGCCACTTTGAACTAATGAAGCACTCTATGCTATTTTGAGATGAATGAGAACTTCACTGCAAATTAGGAAATGGACACAAGAGAGGTTCAAGGACCAGAGTTATGAACTCCATTGCTTTGATTTATTATAATCTCAAACACTACTCTATCCTCCTGAATATCTTTTGGAGAGGCAATTACAAATCATGTAAGATTTAAGGGGGGAAGGGGTAAAACAAGACACACATTTAGTCTCTTTTACACACACAGACACATAGCAGCAGCAGCAGAAGCACTCAGCTGTTCTCACCTTTTTCTTACTGCAGTAGATCTGCCATTTCTTCTCTGCAGGCAATGCAAACATGGCCTCCCTGTGCTTCTCTGTGAGGTCCAGCTCATCCTGCAAAAAAAAGAAACAGAGAGAGGGCTTAGATCAGTCTACTCACATGCACTAAAAGGATCTTTTTCCACTGCAAGACTTTGAAATCACAAACTTACAAACTGCTCAACCTCTGAGACAGAAGGTCATCATCCAGTTCGCAACACTGCTCACATAGGAATAGTTCAATGCAGTCAGGTAAACAACACAAATTAATTGTCAAGGGTCCAACTAAGGTCTAACTCTTAGCGTGTTTGAGATGTGTTCCAGGCCGACGTAAACTAGACCAGGGGTGCGCAACTTCTGTCCTAAGGGTCTCGTATCCAGCACACTTTGGGAGTCCCCCTACTCAAACACATCTACTAACCTCTGCAATTAAAGATGAGTTGAATCTGGTGTGTTTGAGCAGGTATATCACCAAACTGTGGTGATACCAGACCAGGACCAGAGTTGCGCACCCCTAAACTAGATTATTCAAGATAGGGCTGGCCAATATGACAAAATGTAATATTACAACATTTGAAGACGAAACGTTGTTCACGAAACACGCCATCATATTTAGTTTTTCTGAGGTTTGATAAGCTGGAACAGACAAAGAGAATCAGTAGTGCTACGTCAAAAAAAACTGCCAAAAACTAAGTACAATGATGTTTAGCATTTCACATGCTGCACTAAGTCAAACTAAACAGGATTAATTACGCTAGTGTTCTGTAGGTACTCACGTTATACTTAAAAAAGCATATTGTGATGTCATTTCTCACTATAATGATATATATTGTCATATTTCCAAGCCTTAACAAGGTTTGGATAGGATTGCTTAGATCAATGCACTGACTGTACACATCTCAGATACTGCATCATTCTATAGCTGGCATTATGCCCATATTGGAAACTCCAGGTCTAAGCTGGATATGGAAAGACAAAACAGAACAGGGTTTTCAAAAATCAATGCTACCATGCTGTGACTTTTTTGAAGTTTTTTTGTCACTGGACATTAGAGGTTGTAAAGAGTCTGAATGTGAACAATGCGCTACACCCAGCTAATAGCAAGCTACCAATCTTGCACAATTCGTATTTTGGCTTGTAATTCAGAGGATCTAGTGACATTCAGCGCAATAATGTACATAAGATAAAATGCATTGAGTTTGGAACCATCTCACAGGGTGTGACAGCAGTGATTTTCAAAAATCACATACATTTTGGCCATAAAGAAATCTAGCTTGGACACTAAGTTTGGGTGTATGGGCACAATGCTGCCAAAAGAATGACGGCAGAACTTCAGTGGTTTATTATGCTAAGTTTTTGTGACATTCTGCACGTGCAATGACAGTTTTAGAACACTAAAACAAACTGAGGGACTGTAAATGGACCATCCTTAGTAATCCAACTCCTGTAAACATCTTGATTCAGTCCAAAGTCTTAGACTGATAAAAAACCTAGGACTGTTTTAGCAACAAAAGTAAGCCTGTTGTGTGCCTTTAAACATGGTACGTTTATGATGCTCAAAGAAAACTACAAAAGTGAGAAACTGCTTGATTAACTTTCTCCACAAGTACTTCCACTACATTTTTCTACTCTGCTAAAGTGTGGGGGTGGGGGGGTGGTGGTGGATGCAGAAGCGAGAGATTGGAATCAAACTCATTCATGCACACAGTAGTGTGAGTATACAAACACGTGCAAAAACACAGTAATGCTTTCACAATGAAAGCCCAGCCATAAACTTCTCCACTAGCAATTTCCTTTCATTTGGCACTGGAAATAGCGCACCCATAACAAGTGCTGTGTTGTGGTTGGCCCTCAACAGTGGGTGTTGCTGAGCATATCTAGCTGAGAGAAAACCCATGTGTCCACAACCACAAATGCCCTGGAGCTTTTGTTTTCCAACTCAGGATGCAGGAGTCCCTGTTGGCATATTCCACAGCCCCTGCAATCATCTGAATCCACAGACATACACACATATGCACACAGACATAAATTCCACTCATATCTCTGTGACTGCTGGAGTGAGACCATGCACTTACATGTGCAATTGCACCTCCTTTTCATTCCATCACTCCCTCCAGAGGTCCAGGGGTAATATCTCCCCAGCATGACCTCACACTCCATTCCACGACCCCCAAGAGGCGACGGCACGGCACTCCCATTCATGCTATTCCTTCAGTTCAAATGGAACTCTGATGAAGGATTCTACACTGGGTCGCATGTCACAGTAAGAGGATAATTCCTATCCAACACATTTAGGGATTTACAGGCACACAATAAAGGAATTGCGAAATCAATCAAGGAAATACTACTTTTCCATTATTCGTTGGCCTGAAAATATAGGATGAACTGGATTCACGAAAGAGTAATCTTTTTAGAACAGACTATCCAACACATTTTGGGACTTACAGATCACAAAGCTGGGGAATTGCTAAATTATCAAGTACAATTAAACCTTAACAGCTGTCAATCTGTCAATGTGTTACGATAATGAGATAAAATGGCAAAATACTGTATTTTGTAAAATACAGAAATTTTCATATATATTTTATATTTGAATCGTTTAAACAAGCATTGTTGTTTGTATATATCCAAAAAAAAATAATTAAAATAAAAATGAAACATATTGCTTAAGTTCCAGGGTCGTAGTATTTGTCATGTTTTTGAGAAAAGACCCATTGGTGATTTGCAAGTCACAAAGTTGTGGAATTGCTAATTGCTGCTAAATTACCAGGTACATCTTTTGTAAACTAAGCATTCTTTCTAGAAGAAACTATACAATACAATTGGGGATTTACAAGTCACAATGAGACAGAACTGCAAAACTTATCAAGAGGACCCTTCATAAACAGTAGTTTTCCAATTATGCCTTGGACATAAATATATAGTATGAAATAGATTCACGATAGAGAATTCTTTTTATATTTGACTTCAGAGCAATTTTGGGGATTTACACATTACACAGCTGTGGAAGTGTTAAATTAGACCTGCATTGTTAGCATAACTAACTTGCATGTTTTGGGACTGAGGTGCTGCTCTCCGGGATGACTCCAGTCCAGATGGTTTGGGTGCAATGAGGTCTTCATAAGGAACTAATGAAGTACATTCACTTAACCTTTACACATTACTTCTCCTAAAGGGTCTAAAAAAAAAAAGGGTGTTTTTCAGTTTCACAGTTCAGTCTATCTTCAAATTCCTGCTTGAAGATACTGTTCAGAAATGTTGTCTCAGGTCAGACACTTTCTGGAACTGGAGAATCATCAGCAAGTGATTATAAAGCAAACCGGTCCACAGAGAATGAAAGACAATGATCAATAAATGATACCTACACATTCACTCTGCTAGAATGTGATGGCCACATCATCTGCTTTCATTTCGCATCATGGCCTAACAGTGGCAGCTACCATATAATGGTCATTTAAAGTAAAAACCCCATGTATTGTTCCTTTAACATTAGAACTTACCATTAACACACTATAACTCTGAATCCTTGTGGGATTTTTTGCATGCCTTCCTATACAGTCACTTGCTTCATCAGTTTTATCAGCCACTACAGAACGGTGTTAATGTCTTCCTGTCTGGTCACTCCTGGTGACAGTAACGTCCCTGGTGGACAGAGGAGAAAGGAAGAGCTGCTGTGTCTCCCTTCCTGCCCTGCATGTCTTCCATTACTCCTCTTCCTGCAACCCTCCACGTCCCATCGGAAATGAGCTGCACACTCAGCAAGAGTTCTACGTTCACATGCGTGCACCCACACATGCTTCACAGCAATAAAGATGCAGGGAGGAAACTCCTGAGAGGGGAACAAAATGCTGTAATGTCCTTTTCTGCAGCATTACAGTTTTAAGAAGATATATGTACAGCTTATATACAGTACTGTGCAGAAGTCAAGAGACTTCCCCCTTCTTTTAGTCAAAACGTCCATTAAGTACAACTTAAATCATGTTTCAGTGTCAGAAAAAACATTGCACATAAACAAAACATAATATGAAATGTGTATTTTTAGTGTGTTCACCCTTTGCCATTATTACAGCCTTTTTTTTTGGGAGACTTGCTTTCACTTTCTCAAAAAAAATCTGCAAGGACATTTTTCCACACCTCCAAAGTTTAGCCTTAGAAGCTGGTTTAATTTGCTGCTTCTCATGATTCAAGTAATCCCAAACATATTTAATGATGTGGACATCTGGACTGGGGCTGTCAGTCCAATGGCCTCTTCTTTCATCCATTTCCTTTTCTCAGTAACAGCTTTCTGACAGCTACACATCCGTTCAGACTCATAGTGTTGAGTTGTCTTCTCACAGTGGATGGATGGACAGAAACACCTGTAGATTTTTTCAGATCTGAAGCAGAAGTGGAGCTTGATTTTCACCTCTCTCTCAAAGATGAAAGTGGTTGTTAGGAGTCTAATTTTCTCTCTGTTTTTTAATAATTTCTTCAACTCCAGTTATGGAAACTCTTGCTGTTTTACCCTTTTGTCCCCCCTCTGACTGTCTTCTTCCTAATGCACCTCATTACATCTCCAAAAAATATTTCCTGAAAAATGAATAACTTACTGATAACATTCTTAATGGCTGTTTTCACTTGAAGTTAAATAAACAAAAGCTGGTCATGATATACTCAGAAAAGGATACTGTGACATAATTTATTGCAATAATATTGTTATAATGCCAACTGACCACCCCAATAGCAACTTAAGTCTTAGTTCTCATGTGGATGAAGGGGAATGTTACGTGACTCTTAAACCTTGTAAGAAAACTGCCAATTCCTTCAAAGCAACCAAATGTCAGCATATAACCAAACTCAACAGAGGGCATGGCTGAACGAGTAATTATTTTTATACTGATATCGCTACTGAAAAGACTGCAATTTTCAAATTGCTAGAATTGCCTATAGTTTTAAGTGGGGACATTTAACTTATTAACATGGAGCTTGTGAACTGTTTGTAGACGAGGTGGACCAATCAGAAGCACCTAAATATCCTTGTGTTGTGAAATCACAGCCAGAACTAAGTGGCAGTCTGGCACAGTACGTACAGTGCT